AGCACAAAGCTACACAATGGGCTCTGCCCACCACGGGTATCGAAACCGGGATTCTAGCGTTGTAAGTCCGCAGACATTAGTAAAGAGGTACGGAAAAACAAGATAATATTGAACAAATATGAAGGTGCCGTTTTATTCCAACCTTTAATTCCATCTGAAGAGATGTATCGGTGACCAAAATATCGTTGGTACAGCCCAACACGCGCGCAGATGAGGTATCTGTCAAGTACTGGATGTTGTATTGTATATACATCTATTTAGTTATTATTGTAAAATCAACACCAGTTAGAACCTGAACTTGGTGTATTACACAATATGTTTGGATCGTGGTAACAAGGGCATAAGAATTTCAAAAGAAAACTAAGTTAATTGAAAAATAATTTGGAAATTATGTACAACGTACGTGTTTTTTTTGTCAATGAATAATGCGAGTTAAATTGTAGTTTCATTAGTTTTTTTTAAGAAGCCCGGCATGGCCAGGTGGTTAGGGCACTCGACTCGCAATCTGCGTGTCACGGGTTCGAATCCCTTTCCCACCAAACATGCTCGCCCTTTCAGCCGTGGGGGCGTTATAATGTGACGGTCAATCCCACTATTCGTTGATAAAAGAGTAGCCCAAGAGTTGGCGGTGGAGGGTAATGACTAGCTGACTTCCCTCCAGTCTTACACTTCTAAATTAGGGACGGCTAGCGCAGATAGCCCTCGTGTAGCTTTGCGCGAAATTCATAACAAACAAACAAATTTTGAATTGATAGACTAGAGGGAAAGCAGTTAGCACTCCCGCCAACTCTTGGCTACTCTTATTTGATCGAATAGTGGAATTTTACTGTGATTCGTATAGCGAATTCACGATTCCAAAGTGAGGATCATATTTTTGCGGCTGCAAGAAGAGAATTATGGATCCTCAGTTCGGACACGCTGACCACTAGACCTCGCCGGCTCAACCGTGCTTCGAAAGCGCACGTCTGAACAATAATTCAGTATAATTTTGCTTAGTTTTTGATATTCATATTGGTAAAAAAAGAGAATAATTTTGGGTAGTAAAATTGATTCTATTTCTCTCCCTTGTAATGTCATTAAATGTACTTCAATCACCGAAACAAATGGTCTCATTCGAACAAAGGCGATTAATCATTCCTGGTGATTATCCTAAACAATCATTTAGGCAACCCATATGGTAACACGTAGCGAAAAGGTATTCCACAAATATTCATTCGTATGTTCAATCAGATCTATTTTAGCCCCTCAGTGGCACAGCCGTATGTCTACGCACTTACAACGCTAGAATCCGGGTTTCGATACCCGTGGTGGGCAGAGCACAGATAGCCCTTTGTGTAGCTTTGTGCTTAATTACAAACAAACAAACAAGATATATTTTATGGGTTATCTGGCACAGTGCTTCTCAACTCACAGGTCGCGACCTAAGAATCTGGGAACTACATCTATTTATTTATTTAGTATGTATTTAGAAAGTCAGATATATTTACACTGAAACTATTAATCAGATCGCGACTATCCAACAATGTTTATAAATGTATCCTGAAAAAAAAAATGAAACTATTGCTTTTGTATGTAGTTTATGAAATACGCTTATAAGTAAAATTAAGTTTTTTTTTTGTTTTTTTTTTACTTTTAATGAAGAGAGAGAAAGGAACGGTTAAACTTTTAGAAAGAGAAAAAAAATTAAAGTCATTTAACCAAAAAGGTTAACCATCTAATCTCAGTCTCTTCCAGCAATTTTTAACCATGGCTTTATATTTTCCGATTTTATCACGATGTAAGTTAATATGTATATTTTATTTGAATTGACTATAAATTACATAAAATAACGTGTCAGAAAGCACAACGTAGCAAAAGGATAATCAAAAGGAAACGTTTATTCTGAACACTGGAGTGGGTTGAAAAACACTTGAGTATAATCTGACTCTGTTGATGCAACAGCGTTATTTCAAGCACAGATAACTAGGATCAATAAAACTGTCACAGAAGAACTAACGTTTCATGAATAATATTCCTGGACCTTTTTATAGCGCAAAAAAAAAAAGAAGTTTGTGTGAAGCGTCCTTGACAATGGCTATGGTTTATTGGTAAATACTACCACGAAAATTGCAATGTCGTTCGATTCTCTGGCAAAGAAAGTAATGTTTTCCCTGACTGATTGATCACCTGTCAAAAACTGTTACTGTGGCGAAAAGAGAGGAAGCTGAAATGAAAATTTAACTTGGACTTCTTATCACTTGTTATTCTAAAACACATTCTGTACACTCTGTTAGAAGTCACTTATCGACTCCTCATTCGCTTTCTCCCTGTGTATTACTGAACTAACATTAAAATTCAATGCTAGGACCAGGTTAAATAAGTGTACAGGTAGTTTCACTCAATCAGCGACAATTGCACAAATCAATAATCAAAGAAAGAATTACTTGACCTTATTTTAGTGTGTAATACCACTAATTATGAATTACTTGGAAGTCCAAAATACAAAGGTGAAATCTTTCGCTATCCCACACGCTTGTTTGTTTCGGATATTCGTGCAAACCTACATATCTATCTATCTGCGCGAGCCGTCCCTAATTTTGAAGTGATTGACTAGAAAAAAGGAACTAGTCAACAGAATCCACAGCAAACTATTGAGCTATTCTCATAAAATAGTAGGATTTGATCGTCATTTTTAAAATGCACCCACGGACCAAAAGTGCGGAGCGCGTTTCTTTTAAGCAACAACGGGACGCGAATCATGAACCTTCCGATACATAGTCCAGAGTGATTCCCTTTAGACACTTGTCATCTTTGTGTGTTTTACGTCTCCCGGTGGGACAACGGTATGTTTACGGACTTACAACACTAAAATCCGGTGTTTGATTCCCCCGCGGTGGACACAACAGATAGCCCAGTGTGGCTTTGCTTGAAAACAACCAAACAAACGATTTTTGTTTAAATTGATCTTAAAAATGTACAATTGTCCAATACAGTTAATGATAAAAACAATTCTAAATAGGCTGTGTTACATAGGGGTATAAATAGTCTGAGGTACATTTCTCTGGTCTATCTTTGCAGTTCTCAGAAAATTCTGTTTGTCGATGTGATGATAAACCAATGTCACCACATTCATTGTGGCTATCATTACTAATATATCAGATGTTACCATATTTATTCTGCTTATCAAAAGCATGACAAATCAATATGTTCGATGTCATGAAATTTACTCTGACTATCAACATTACAAAAAATCAAAATGATCGATACCAGTCGATATTCACTCTGATTATAAGGATATTTACTCTGATTATAAGGATATTCACTCTGATTATAAGGATATTCACTCTGATCATAAGTACTAAAATAAATAGAGTTATTGACACTATAATGGACGATTTTAAGCTTTTGATAATACCAGTCTCACTCTTATTTTATATACTTAATATTATATTGGTAATAACAGCTTTAATATCAAATTTACGTCTGAATTGGCCTGATTAAACTATGACGCCAGGGACTATTAATAAGAAGATTTTTCTTTTATACGAACTATTCTTATCAATGGTGGTGTCTGTTAACATACGAAGTTCATTTAAATAGACAATTCGTCACATCAGCCTAGAGCATGTTTCATAATACTTGTATTTGACTTAATCCTTATTTTTGATATTTGCTAGAGTGGAGCCACCATGTGGTAAAATCCATTTTACGCCTTCAACGACGATATTTTGTACCTACTGTTGAGTGAATCCAATTTTCTAAAAATCTGTATAAAACCAATTTGATGCTATCCATTATTTTTTCATATTTTGTCCATTGTCCAATACATTTATTCTCCTTTTTTAGTTTCAGTAACTAAAAACATTTATATTTTTCGTTTAAACATTGTCGTAAAGGCCACCCATGTAGATTTAGGCTTAGTATCCCACTTTTTTCTCTATTATTCTGGGTGACTAGTGTTAAAAATGGACCATTAACTCTAAGCTAATAAAACAGTAAGATTCACTGAAGTGAGTTGTGAAATCTCATCATTTTTAAATAACAGGATATTGTTTTATAAAATATGTCCCCATTCTCTTTCTATAGTTCTCTGACTCGTCATCTAAACAGTCAGTGAGGGTGTAAAAGGTTAGATGATCGTGATATACGTGTCGTTCCTGATATATCATGTATTGGCGGACTGTACTTTAGGTGATTGTGACGTAGTTATCGAATCAAATAATTTTTATATCTTAACTAAGATGAAAGAGGAACGAAGTCTCTGTAAAAAACTATTCTGTTAAGGAACCTGTTGCTTTAATTATAAAGTCGTTAGGCCTCAAACAAACCGATTCGGGACATATTGATTAAACTCAGTTATTATAGCAGCCACTAATGATACTTAAAAGACAAGATATTGTTTGAAGCCTATCTTTGTTATAGAAGTAAGTATCCAAATTATACAACTTCTAACAAATATAATTTGTTTTCCTTGAGGAAAATGATTTACTTATTGAGAAAGAGAAATTTTAATGTTACAGTTGGATACGCCTGCCCCCCCCCCCAATGGTACAGGGATAAGTCTCCAGACTTATAACGCTAAAAACCGAGTTTCGATACCCGTGGTGGGTACAGCACAAATAGCTCATTGTGTAGCTTTATGCTTAGCTACAAACAAAACGGACATGCCTTTATATATTATTCTCAGCTAGCAAAGAATATAGATATCTTAAGTTTTCTTCGAATTACTTTTGATAAAAAATTAAACAAATCAGCTTTTGGTGATTAGAAATGAAACAGTGAAACGAACAGAAACGGAATAAAGCCTAATTTATTGTACATTATGTATTTCAAACTATATTATTGATTGTTTTATTTTTACATTTAGTGGGTTTTATTCAATACTCTTTACACGAAAAGAATGCACACTTCAAAGTGAGAAAACTTTGACGAATATAAACAAAATGTATATAAAACACACGCCTCACTTATATAAAATAATTCTGTATCAGGTATACGAAGGCGAGAAAAATAGGACTTACCTGACTGATGTTGTGACCAGTGTCCACAAGCACATCAATGAGATCCATGGACTTTGCAAAAGCGTCCCTTAGGTTCACGTGGTGGAATGATACTATACTGCCCTCCCGCTTGGCTCTCTCCATCGCTTCTTTCCGTTTCAGCGCTTTCTCTCGACGCATCTGATTCTTGTAGAACTCAGCGAAGTTGTTAACTATAATGGGAATTGGCAGAGCAATGACTAGCACCCCGCAGATACAGCAGACACTACCTATCGCTTTTCCAAGAGGTGTGGTCGGGTAGATATCACCGTAGCCGACGGTTGTCATGGTGATACTTGCCCACCAAAACGTCTCCGGGATGCTGGTATACTTGGTGTCTGGCTCATCTTTTTCGGCGAAGTACGTTAAACTTGAAAAGATCATGATCCCTATGGCCAAAAATAGCATGAGCAAACCGAGTTCCTTGTAACTGTTTCTCAATGTGAACCCAAGACTCTGTAACCCCGTACTGTGACGGGCTAGTTTTAGGATTCTCAGAATCCTCATGATTCGGAAGATTTGTACAATACGTCTGACGTCCTGAAATTGATCTGTGTGTTTGTTGGATTCGATTAGAAACAAAGATACAAAATAAGGGAGGATAGCTAATAAATCGATAATGTTCAGAGAGCCTTTGAAAAATTTCCATTTGTTTGGTGCGGAAATAAACCGTAAGACATATTCCAGAGTGAACCACGTGATGCAGACAGCCTCCACCATGGCCAACTTTGGATTATCTCCACCCTGGTGACCATCCTTGTCCTCTACTTGCATCTGGGGCAGTGTGTTGAGGGTCAGAGCTATTGTCGAGAGGACTATGAACAGAATGGACAGCACAGCCACTACCTGGAAGATAGGGCACAATGACTTTTTTGACCATTGGCCATTAACAAAAAAACACGACTTTCAACGGACCTCTCGATGTCATTTTTGTTTAACACAAAAGGAAGAGACAAGTAAGTAAGCAAGTGAGCTATAACTATGCAAATTTCTTCCAAATTTCTAGAAACAAGTTTTGACTCGCCAAAATGCCTAAATCATCAGATATATAAAACTTCAGTCAAAATAAAGCTTAATAAATCGGAGTTTATAACCAATATATTTATCTGAGGTATAATAGTTGACCTGACGTAATTTTTGAGATAGATATATATGTCAAAAGAGAAATAGGAAATACCGGAAAATATATATAGAGAGAGAGATTATGTAAAGTTAGGGGATTTGTATTAATAGGTTTTCTCCAATCCAGAAGCAGTTATTATTTATGTTTTTAAACTATTTAATAAGAAAATATCAGGCGTCCACTGCAAATCATAGGTTTCTACTGTTTCTGTTTTCGATGTGCAGGATGTAGGACATAAAGCTGATTTTGAACTATTTAATAAGAAAGTATCAGACGTCCACTACAAATCATAGGTTGATACTGTTTCTGTTTTCGATGTGCAGGATGTAGGACATAAAGCTGATTTTGAACTATTTAATAAGAAAATATCAGAAGTCCAATGCAAATCAAGGGCTACTACTGTTTCTGTTTTCGATGTGCAGGATGTTGGACATAAAGCTGAGGTATAATTATATTAGTTTGTCTTTATAGACCATAAACACAATCACTAGGGGATAAGTAATAACGTTGTTTTTTTTTTCGCAGACTTTTCGTTTGCTCTTAGCACAGACGATACACAGAAATATAAGATAGTAAGATACAAATCTATCCACTCTTTTCTGTTCGTTAATGTATTTTTACTGTCGATGACTTTTATCTGAATAAGACATATAATGCTGACATTTTTTTCGTACATTTGTCAAAACTGGCTTATCTTCAGAGTATGCATAATAAAAGAATGCTTGATTTTGTTTCCAGATCGTCATAGATTTCTTAATCATAAACATTGTAGAGAAATCTACATTCATTGTGCTCTAAATACCACTTTATTAATAAATTTATAAAATACAAACGTTAATAAAACTCCAACGTATCTATTCTCCAGATCAATGAATTTAGATTTCTCTACAATGTTTATGATTAAGAAATCTATGACGAAAGTGGTATTTAGTGCAGTTTCTTTTTTATAGATTCATTAATGTCAATAAAACTCCAACGTATCTATTAGAATGCACTAAATAATAAGTTAAACGCTATTTTCTTTTACTGTTAATCCATTTTCAGTGTTGATGACATATACTTGAGTCAGACAGTGATATACAATACTCATATCTTTTCGTACATCTTTTCAAATGGATTTATCATCAGAGTGCGTGGTATAATTGTATGTAAATAGAATGATATATATATATATCCATTATTCTTTTAAAAAAAAACTGAGGAGGTATTTCCTTCTTTTCTTGGATGTAATAACTATAATCTGTCAATACTGTAAACCACTAGACTACATGAATGATTGTAAACATTCATGATCTACCAAACAACAAATCTGGGCCCGTTATTGACACGGTATTCATATTTTCTGGCTTTATAATAATCGATCTCTTTCAAATGTCTACGATATACAGGTTCACAGATTATTAAGCTGAGAAGCTATTTTACATCAATCTATTTACAGATCTTTAAAGCAGATTATTAAGCTGAGAAGCTATTTTACATCAATCTATTTACAGATCTTTAAAGCAGATTATAAGCAACAGAAGGATATAAAAATATCTTTAACTTTTAATTTTGTTTAACAAAAATATACGATAACATTTGAGAATATATTTTCTTGTGACTAACACCTAATATCAGAATTAGTGTGTGTATAGATTAAGGCACATTAAAACGGGAAACTACTCATTCTGTCTTTACTCTTTGTATATTAATTTTTCAAGTTGCAGATTATGTGTAGATACTCAAAATATCGAGTGTTTGTTTTCTTCTCTCCTCTGAGTATTAAATATTTCCAAAAATATTTTCCATTGGAAAATAAGAAGCTGATACACCTTTTCTCACACAAGGATGATTGTATTCAGGTGTATACTATTAACAAGTTAACATTTTATCTTTTATCCATCCATAAATTATTATGAAATCAGATACTTACAATACGTTTGTAAGCTGTCCTTTTCTATATTGAGATGTTATTCTTAGTAACTATTTTTATTAAATAGGATATATATAGAGTGCATGGCAGTACGTTGTTTTTCTTTCAATAATGTATTCAAATTAATTTATCTCTAAAGTCAATTACACAGAAATACTGTCTTTTTCTGTTATAATGTTAATTATCATTAACCTTCAGTTCAACTATACACGTGTATGATATCTACGAATTTTCTTAAACTGTTTATTGTAATCAAATTATAATCTATATTATACGAACATATGTAGAATATAGTAATTTTACCACGCCCCTCAGGAGCCAAGGGGTGTCTTTACACTACAATTTATTGAATATTAAAAGTAAGTTCAATCCGGAAACTCTCAAAGAGGGTAGTTTTGGACGTATCTTTTCGAGACACGTTTTTGTTTGTTAATTGATAAATGTTTAAGTGAAATACAGGATCCTCAGGTCTCCATATTAGCTAGTGCTAAGGTCTACCCACTGTGAGTAACTTCAGTATATATCAATGAAGCCACATTTTCAGCATTATCAATTAAGCAATTGCCAACCTCTTATGCTTCTGTTATCACCTTTTAACTGAGATACGAACGATTTCACTTGCGATTCGGTAGGGAAGGTCGAAGCATCACGATAGTCAGCAGTAGGATGAGCAGACAGGTACACTTTGAAAACAGCTACAGGCATAATATTTTACTCAGTTTGCTGCACATTATCTACCAAGGTTCCTGAATACCTCTGCAAGACTTCCATGTTTCTTGTGTTTGGTCGTTAAACTCGTTATGCGCTAACGGATTTCAGTCACCTTACCACTTCAAATCACTTTTCGCAGTCTCAACGCTAAAAGATTGCGGGAAATGCATTTTTTTAACGAATAAGATTGTTCAAAAAGTTTCAATTCAAATCAAGAAAAACCGGATTGGGTAGTGTTTTTTTTCCCGACAGAAATGTCCCCCACTGGCTCGTGAGGGTTCTGTTAAAAACAATTTTATATTTTCCCAATTTTTTGTTATTAATTCATTTAAAAAGATTTCTGGTAGTAATTTAAAGCATATCTTTTTTGTCATTCTATTAACAATTATTTACATACAACGTAGCCCCCTGGTGGATCAGCGATAAACTTGGGGGCTTGTAGCGCTAAAATTCGGGGTTCGATCCTTGTAGTGCGTAAAGCCCAGATTGTACAGCTCTGTATATTTCATACGCAGTATACTATAAAAGAGTTAATTGATTTTTTTTGTATCTACTAGTAATTCTTCGTCTTCGTTAATAGAATGCAGAAACAAACAGTAGTAAGCGTAATTTTTTTACTATTCGTTATTAAAATAAATTTTTCTAAAAAATATTTTTACTCTTAAAGATTAGTAATAAATGTAGGAATATTTTATACTAATTTACTTTCAAAGGCTAATGTATACAAATATACATATGTAAGAAGCTAGTATCTGTTATTCACTTCAAGGATAAAAATCTAATTGCATAGTTTTCCTTTGAAATGATATTAATATTCATTGAAATTTTTTAGAATAATTAAGAAATATAGTTTCACGAATTACTAATAGCTATCCACATTAATAGTTGATATCCCTGAATTGATCTTGAACATTAATTGTATACAGATACAGAAGTATAAAACATTTTCTTCTGTACTGATCTACTTATAATAATTTAGCTTAATTTACAAATATTTGTTTTTTTACCGCAAAGTCACACTATCTTCGCTCTGTCCAACGCGGGGAATCGAATCCCGGATTTTAGTATTGTAAGTTCAGAAACTTGTTGCTAACCAACTACAAATATAGATAGTATTAAGTTAAGATATCTCAGTTGTATCTATATCTTCTATTAATACATACATACATATATATTTTATTTTCAGCGAATATTGTATACAAATTCACTTAGTAATTAATGGAAGATACGTGTTATCTTATCTATGCATTAATAATAATATATTACGGGTGAATATTTAGAGGTGGGATGATTATCTGATGTTTTTGCATTGATTAATTAATAATCGGGAATCAATAAATTGTAATTTTTAATATGTTCTGCAAGCACACACCCACACATTATATATATTCATACATGTTAATAGCTTGAGTTTTTTAAAGTTTTTAAATCGTCATATTTATTCAAATAATTAAGAATGACTAATTTAATTTGTAAATTATACGTTCATATGAATATCTTAACAAGACGAGGATTTGTTTTCACTTTTCTCGATTCATTAATAATTCAACTTTTTGCAATCAGTCATTAGTAATTTGCTTTCAATGTAATCTAATATATGAATACGTTATTAAGTTGGTGAACTATATCGAGGCGAGGTGTTGTTGGGGCCCTATTCTCCAGTGGGAGTCTACAGGGATCATTATTAACGTAGTGAATAATTTTACACATTAATTTACCTATGTTATGAGTGTTAAAAAACAATGGCATATATATACAGTGTTTAAAGTGATGCCAGTATGCACGTTCTTGGGGCGGAGGGGCCAGGTTGGTGTTTTCAGAGTATAATGTGAAGTATACTCACTCTACAATTGCAAAAACACTAAAATCAAACGTACTTTTGTGCGAAACCAAACGTATTTTGCAGCAATAAAAATATTTTGTTATCATTTCTTTATTTTTTGCTGTTATGTCATATGTTTTTCTTACCATTATGCATATGCTAGTCCTCTTTAACCGCAGCACACACATATATATGTATATATATGTTGCCCTACTTTAAACACAACACACACACACATATATATATTATATTAATTCTATGAGTTGTTCTCATTTACT